AAAAAAAAAGGTGCTCTGTTTTTTGTTTTGTTTTGTGTCTTTGTTTTTAAAGAGAGTAGTACTTGGTTGACTAAGCTTAAGCTTTATGGGGTCCGTGAAGATTTCTGGGGCATCCTTATTTGCCTCTCTACTCTCATGTTTTTTCTGATACAACAAGCTAAAGAGCTATAACTTTTGGCACTTCTTTTTTGTTTCTTCAAACGTTGTTCTTTGTCCAAAACTAAAGCTTTGGCGTTTTGGGGTTTTAGCTTTTGGGTCAGTTGTTTTTGGATTGTATTGAATTGTGTTATAAAGGAGATGCAATCGGGTCGGTCACAATCCGTGGTGACTCCGATTCCCCAACGGGTTCAATCTTTTCAAGCAGCTGATACTAGAGGGAAGCATAGGATACAAGCTGAACTCAAAAGGCTGGAGCAAGAAGCTAGGTTCTTAGAGGTTAGTAAGAAGATCATCTCTCTTTTATTATTTTTATTATTATTACTTTTGGGTTTTTCTTTTAGCTACTGAAATGTTGGTTTTCTTGTTTGGGGTGTTTGATTTTTAATTGCTTTGGATTGGGTTGATAATCTGATTGTCTCTGTGAATTTGAACTGATAAATCTTGAAGTTAGGTTGTGGGTACTGCTGGTATGTTTTTTATTGTGGACATATTGAATCAATTGCTTGTTTGTCTTCTTTTTTCAAGTCACCTGAGTTTTTTCTCGTTTTGGAATTTTCAAGTTCGATATAGAGCAAACGCCAGACCTTGAATCCTTCTGGCTTCGGCTGTCTAAAGAAAAATTTTCAACTTTATTTTTGTTAGACAGGCAGGGATGCCCTGGATTCATTTATTTTTGATTGGTCAGGGGTATTAAATCCGGAAAATGGGAAGTGGATAGTATTGCTTTAAATCACCTTCAGTGCAACGGTGGCTTCTTGGTTTGACAATAACGTTAAGCCTTCTGCTATCAAAAGAATTTCTCTTAATTGCAGTAGCCCTTTTCTTCTCTTCCATCAAGTGACCTTTCTCTGGTTTATTTCAGTAGGACCTTGGTAGACTTGTTTCAACTTGACCATTCAATTGCTTCTTTGTTTACTGGAACCGCTCTTGTTACTATTCTCAGCTCTGAAGTCATAATTGTCACTAACCCATGTAGAAGCCCTAATATTTTAAGGCATCTAACTGTAGATTCTTTCTGAGATACAAAGACTTTAAGAACTTGTAGTTCCTGTTAGGCAGCTAGGTAGGTCTCCACATTCTGAAATTTGATTTTTGAGCCCTTTCTCGCTAATTAAGTTGGTTAATTTATGCTCACTTTCGAGGGGTTATTTACACGTTATTACCCTTTCATTTTGGTTTGTAGGTTGTAACCAATAAGATACATGGTTGCTGTAGTTAGTTATATCTGATTTGTTTGTATTTCCATTTCCGTGTTTTTTTTTTAAACTTTTTGGGAACAAAAAATGGTATTCTGTGCTTATGATCTATTGGGATAAAATATGCCTTCAGCAAAGAGAAGCTTCACTATTGTCTATGCTAACTTGTAATATGGATGTTATTGCTTTGCCATTGCCCTCTTTTATATCCACAGCATGCTGGTTCTTTGTTTGCATACCCCAAGCATGATGGGAAAAAAATTCAATTGTACATATTGTTTTTTCATGTTATTAAGGCACTTTAATTGTTTTAGGTTTCCTTTCCAAATTCCCTCATACTACAATCACTCCCACTTCCTTGTATGACTTATGTTTCCCTGGTTGTAACTTCACATCTTTGCCTTTCCTGCTGCAGTCAATGTGCCTCTACTGTTATGACATTTTTCTGAACTTTCTCTGGGTAAATTAGAGATTTATTACTTTATGTTTTTCTTTTTTTCATTTTATAAATTGGAAGGCAACTTAATTTGTTAATCAGGTTAGAGCTTCTTTCTCATACTTCTGTAGGAAACTGTACATTCTGTCAGTTGGAGCCAGAACTAAATGATTTGCCTGTAATTAAAAAAAAAGGAAGCGTTCTTGGAAAATTTCAGGTTCTACTGTCTAAAATATTTGAGAATATTTGAAGATGTAGATTAGCTGAAATTCTAAATTTCCTTTTTCTTGTTTTATGCTGAGAATCAGTTCCAATATCTGCAGCTGTATGCAGTCTTGTATATTGAAAGGTGGAAAATGTTCACAGAGCCATCTATGCTTTAGATTAGAACATAAAATGTTAATTTTGTCTATGGGTATCTGATGATTTGATGTAATCCTACTATCAATATTATAATACTTGCTATTATTATTGACCTTCCATAATGCTCTGTGTACACAGGAGGAGCTGGAGCAGATAGAAAGGATGGAGAAGGCATCAGCTGCATGCAAGGAGTGAGTATGAGGAGTACTTGCTATTCATTTCTACTCTTAGCAGAAAAATATAGGGCAAAGCTGATTTTAATTTATTTTCTTTTGCATGACAGGATGCTGAGTAATGTAGAAAGTAGCCCTGATCCACTGCTCCCTGTGTAATGCATCTATTTAACATCCCTATTTTCCATTTTCATTTTTGTGGTAATTCTTCCTAAAATGTTTCTTACAATTCCTGAAAATTGTCTTCATCATTGGTTGGCAGAACAAATGGCCCTCTAAATCCCTTGTGGGATCGATGGTTTGAAGGGCCCCAGGACGCCCAAGGTTGCAAATGTTGGATACTGTGACAGTATTGCTGATTTGAAGGGTTGACTGTTATTATCTTTAATTTCGAGAGGCTTCGACTTACAGAGTTGTTACAAATGTGAGAGCAATAGAGTAATCTCAGATGTTTATGAGATATTTCATTGTGCAGAAAATGACAATTTTTACAGCAATTTTTTTGAATCCAATTTATAGCAACATTTTCTTCGTTGACAATTGTTAAATGAAAAGCTTGATTGTGCAGAAATGTCAATTTTTTTTTTCAGGCAAATTGAAATGTGAACAATCTACAAATTTTAATAGAAATAGCTCATACAGGAGATGGTACACAAGAGGTGACTCTGTTTCAGTCATCCAAATCCATAATATACGAAGAATGAGCTCTCCTTCATTGATAATCCCCTTTTCAACTCGGTGCTTTCCCAGTAACATGCTGGGCGATCCACCCCAAACCATCATACAACCCGTCTCCAGTAAGTGCACAGCAGGATTGGATGTGCCAATCATGATTTTTTATACTGTGAAGTGAAAGGGCATCAGTGATCTCAGCAGGGGTCATTGCATCTTTGAGGTCTTGTTTATTTGCGAACACAAGGATAACTGAATGCTGCAGATCCTCATGTCCAAGCAACCGGAAGAGCTCATCCTTCATAATGGTGATCCTGGCCCTATCTGTGCTGTCTATCACCACAATAACAGCATGAGTTCCGCGATAGTATGTTGCCCACGATGTTCTTAGTCTTTCTTGCCCACCAAGATCCCAGACCTGAGGCAAATAGAAATATTTAGGCGCCCAGCAGATTTGTAAAATCTAAATGAAACCATTACATGCACCCTTTCCACCACTTTCTCTATGCTCTTTCACTTTGCTTAGCACATAATTCCAAGAAAAAAAATTATAGCTACATTATATCGAGGTTGTGGTCTCAAATTCTTTTTTAGAAATAAAAAAAAATTAAGATAAATCTCACTATCAATGGACTGCTTGAAAATTGGATCTCCATGAAGGACAAGTTGCAAACCAAAGCAAGAACAAGATCTCAGTGACCTGATTAAATTAGTCACAGTCAAAGCTCACTAGCTAAATGGCATTCTGACATTAAGTGACTTCATATAATAGTAATTTGAAAACTAGATGAGAGAGAGAGAGTAATTCAACTTGCACAATTAAGGCTCCATTTGGTTGATGCTTTTACTACTTTTTTGCTATTGTCTTTTGTTTTCCTTTCATTGTTTTATGTCTTGCTTTTTGCTTTCTATTTATTTTTTTGCAAAACAAGCATACAGCAAATATCAAATAAGAAAAGCATTAAACCAAATGAACCTAAATTAAATGAAGAAGAAAACCAAGTGTGGAGAAAGATCAAATCCTCCCAATCAACATACTGACCAAAGACAGTATATGCCCAATTGATGGTATGTAACCCGTCTCAGATCTCTATACTTTCAACACACATTTTATACATGAAGAAACATTCATGTGCCCTTTCAATACAATCTGCTTACAGCCAAAACATTCTTTTAAAAGGACCTATGATGTAAAAGGGGTTAATGTTTACTTCATAGGGGGTACACATAGATTCTAATGAAACCACATAACGCGACTTTCATTCAGAAAACTATGTAGCATCTTTTTGGAAACAGTAAAAGGAGCATATAGGTTTGAAATCATACAGTACCAAGCCTCCTGGTGCATCATTCATTTATAGATAAACATGCACACATGGATGAACGAAAATGAGTAAAACAGATAAGTGACACATCACAGTCATCCAGCCATAGCCACATTGCATCACTAAATACTAAATCAGCTTCCTACAATAATCCACACCTCCATTGCCAAATATAGACACAAAATACCTCCTCCAATAGAAAACGACAATAATCTGCTTTCCAAGTTCCACTAAACCATTAGGGAGATAATTCCAAACAAAGGTATCCTGAACAGAGATCAGAGCTACGCTTGGCCTAAGATTGTGCATCGAACAAGTTCCAAAAGCTATGTACTAACTACCTTCCCTTCAAATTCAGAAATGAGGGTTCGTTTTATAATGCTCATAAAAAATCACATTCAACAAGATATTCACCACGGTTCAGAGTAAGCAAAAACTCCAATTTTGGTGGCTATATAATCACGACATGGAAACTAAACAAAGAATTTCCAAGCTTCAACCTATTTAACTTAACCCCTAACAACTTTTCCTTAAATCCCAAAAAGCTATCAAAAAGATTCAAACCATTGAACCAATGCACCAATGGACAAGCCGTCGATAGAAACTAATAGGCACGTTGAGCGGAACTAGTTGAAACTATAACCCATCAAATTCTTCAAAAAAAAAAAGAAAAGAAAAAGAAACTATTTCCACAAAATTAAATAAAAAAAGATTAAAAAATGAAAACCCAGAAATTACATCATCTTGAAATTGGAAATAAAATCTCAAGAAAAGAGGAAGAAGAAGATTACCTCGAAGCGGATGTTTTTATAAACAAGCTCTTCAACGTTGCTACCAACAGTAGGATGCGTAGTAACAACATCTCCAAGGTGAAGCTTGTAAAGCGTCGTCGTTTTGCCTGCATTATCCAACCCCACCACCACAATCTTATATTCCTTAGCGGGAAATAGCATGAACCAAAACTTCGATACGAAACCTCCCATCTTTATCGACTACCTTCAGAAAAACAAAAAAAAATATTTCTTTATATCTTAAATTTGATATAAATCGATCAAATAAACGGATCTATGAAGAAAATTTTTCATTTTTTCTTTTTACCTCGATTGGGAGATTCGGCTGTGATGATGATGAGGAGGACGGTGATGATGGAGGGGCTAGCGTGGATCCTGAAGGAGGAGAACTGGATTCTTTGGGGGAATAGAGAGAAACTCTGATCTGTTTTTTTTTTTTTTTGATCGTTCT